GGGCCCTCTGCACCGGGTTTGGATACTTCTTATTTGAATGGAGGGCCTCATGCTCTTGTCGGGCCCCTTCTGATAAGCTGCTGGGGTGCATTTCATCGTTGGCTGGCCATCTGCATTGGGTCTTGAGTGCTTTCTATTTGAATGGAGGGCCTTACGTTCTTGCTAGAAGCCCTATCTGTTAAGACGCTCGGACACACTTTATCTTTTGGGGGCTCTCTTTATTGGGTCTTGAGGACTTTCAATTTGAATAGAGGTCCATGAGCTCTTGACGGGGGCCCGATGTAATAACTAGTTTGGGAACTGGCCCCGCGCTCCTGTCGGGGGGGGCCCCCATCTGTTACCTGCTCGGGCACACTCAATCGTTCCCAGGCTCTCCATGCTGTGTTTTGATTACTTCTTAGTTGAGTGCATGGTCCTATGTTCTTGACGGGCCTGCCGATTTACCTATTCAGCTGCTGGAGCCGATGGTGGACACAGACGGGGAGGGGAAGGTACAGGATCATGTCTCCCATGAACTATGCCAAGGGACCTATAGGCTCCCAAGCTGCCCACAACTGGCCGACCGGGCGCAGTTTTCTAACAAAACGTTACATGCAACTCAGTTGGACGTCTTCGGGCCTACAGACAACCAAGAGCGGTTACTGGCAAAAGTAAAGACTTGATGAGCAGATCAAGTTAATTCTTTGCTGATTGAGGAAACGTTGCTTGGACAAAATTTTGGGGTTGATTACGGTGTCCAGAGACATAGCGCTGTTGCCTGGACCCAATATGCCCACTTTCCGGGTCAGTCTGATCGCTAGGGAGCTTTCTACGTTGCCTTTGATATCTTTGCACTTTCTCGTGGGGCCCAATGTCGCTGCCGGGACGCTATCTTCTTCTATGCCTGAACACTCTTGATCGATCATGTTGTCCTCCACCGACTTCAACTGATTTCCCGAAAAGCTCTGTACGCTTTTCCGGGGCGTAATACGCCAGGGTACGCTCAGTTGCTCAGAGGCTCATCATATTAGTATTGGGTTCTTGCCACTTACTCGAGGGACCTGAGCTCTAAAACGGGTGAAGGGACTATATCCCCCCGGATTTCAGCCGAGCGGGGTTTGTCCAAAGAGATCGCCGAAAATGATATTATCAGTTTTTATATTGGCATCTCGCAGATGTTCATTATAGCTTAAGCCAATAAGGCGCTAGGACTTCCCGAAATCGACGATATCACACCTCTGTTTTTTTTTCTCTCACAATGTTTAGACTTAACACGCGATGGGGTGGGGGTCAAATGGACCCCACACATAATTTTTCTGGAATGATTTCGGAATGGCGCAGCGTAGCCGCGCCAAATTTTGCATAGCTGTAGACATCAAAATGCGGATCGTCTGGCATCAAACATTTAGATGCACTATGTCAGGCCACTGACCTATGGCAGGTCAGAGTTAGGTCATGGTTTCATCGAAGGCAATTTTTTCCGAAACTGTTCTGTCTGATCCAACAGAGGAGTGTTAAGCGAAGCCATACACCTCTGAGATACTTTCCTAGGATACACAACACTTGAATAAGCAAATGAAATTGAACTAGGGTGAGGTGCTGAGTTCAGACCACGGTCAGAACTAACAGCTTTTATTACTCTAGGGCTTATATATTTATTGCTTATTACTCTAGGGCTTATATAGGGCTTATATGGGGTAGTTTCTGGTGCTCACTCTCAAATTTGTTGATAACAGAAACCACATTTTAACCTTCCATGGGCTTCTTAACTGTTTGTTTTTAGCAGCATACTGCCTAGCGTAATCTTTGTCGCTTATCCAATTGCAAAACTCAAGGCAGTCTTGTATGATTTTGGTCGCCATGGCTTTCACAAGGTCGCACAAGACCATTGATCTCAAATGAACATGTGGTCTTTTGATTGGGACAGTCACCTAGGTTCCAGAGGCCCTTTGGAGACCAACCTGGAATTTGACCATGTTTGACCTTGTTTAACCCAGAGATCATGACCTAGAAACCTCAAACGTCAACCTAAGTGAGTTCACGTACAGGTTAACACACCCTGTGAATTTGGCATCTCTAGCTCACTTGTTCCTGAGGTCTCAGCGGATGAGATCATCCGCCAACCACCCCCCCCCCCCCCCCCCCCCTCCCACTCGAGCGAAGGGTATTGAACCGGCAACCCGGGCGCGCGTTAAATTCATAAACACCGCTGTTTTTCAGTGAAAATCCCTTGAAGCCCAGGATTGCATCAGTAGCATTCATTGCCCCTCGGGCACTTAAGCTTCGAGATAGGATATTTCACCTTAGACTTATTTTAGTATCTTGTTCGTCCAAGCTATCCGTACGCGCAGTTTCGATTTCCCAACGATATGTTTGATTTTCAAAAGCAAGTGCTCATCTGTGTAGGATAGTGTCAAGAATCCGCCGGTTGACGAGGCGTGTTCCCGTTTCCTAGCATACTCCCCCATGTGCTCTAGATGTTTTGACCTCTTCCATCATGCAACCTAAATGTCATGGAAGATATCCATTGCGCAAGAGCTGAGTCCACATATTTGAGCTCGTTCCGTATTTTTCACTGCTTGATAAGTTGCTTAGAGCCATATGGAGCGTATTTCGAATTATATTGTGTTTAGTGGAAGTCGGATGCCCAGATTCGCGGTGCAGAATCGCACTAGAGTTGGTGGGCTTGATCACAGCTCCGTTTCTAACGTTGTATGATTGTTCCTCTTTTCCACCGTCACTAGTGTATCCAAATGCAGACCCCCTTTCTGTATGGTTCATTGTAAAGGCTAAATTGGGTAAAGAAGTTGGCTTAACACTACCTGACATAGATGAATACTTGCTCTGGAAAATTCACCATATCCTCCCAAATTGAAACCACACTTACGGATAGCTTAGAAGAACGATAAGGAGCCAAAGAACTCTCTAGTTTAATATATAATCTCGAAGTATAAGTGCCCGGGGTGCCATAGGTGTCATATATGGATGGCTGGGTTTTAGGGTGTTTGCACGCGAAGAAATGTGGCTTACGAATTTAAGCGTAAACTGCGCGAAAAACATGGGAGGTACATAGCCTATGTTAAGACGTCCATGCGTCCAACTCGTTTCACTTGTGTTGAACACCTGCGAGATGCTAAAAACGAAACAGATAGTAAAAAATCTCTTCGGCGACCATCTTTTTCACAGAGCACGCTAAGGGTAAAACCCAAGGAAGTACGGACCATTTCCTTTTAGAGCTCTAAGGTATCTTCAAAGCACGGGACCATCCAGACAGGAAAAATGGTGAATCTATTTTTATAAGAAGTTGGCGACCATAGTTCTATGTACAGGAGTCATTATGAACGATAATTTGAATGTGACCAGTGTCTTGATGTGCAATGCATGCCGGCTTAAAATCGCCTTCATGTATCAGTGTTGTCTGACGCTTGATACACGATGTCTGTTTAATTGAAATCGTTTGCATGTAAAAGTGATGCGTGATGCGAGATGTCTGTGTACTTGAAATCGCTTGCGGAAGTAAATTATCTGTTATGCGTGAAGCCTGTGAACTTGAATTCGTTTGCACATACAGGTATTTTTCGCGCTTTTTAATTCTCAGTTAGATGTGCACTGTATCGCAGAAATGACCGGCAATTGCTTTTGTTTAATCCCCTGCATGTTGGTGGTCTGTAAAAACTGTGGCTAGCTGTTTCTGAAGGAAAAAAACTGAGGCGTCGAGTAAAATCTGCAGGCAAACTTTAATTTGCAACCGATATTCGTTTCGATGAAGGCATATAGCCAACATATCACATTCATCTCTCCATTTTCCTCTTTCTTCTTTGAAAAATAAAGCCACAAATGCTGTTTTGTCTATACGCATAGTGTTCTTCACAAATGCACTTTACAATTTGCGAAGCGCTGCCATCATGTCGATAATGATGGCGGCATGCCCTCTACATAACAATTTAAACGTAATGTAAAGATTCTGTCCGGTCACTAAGATCAGTCTAGACCAAAGTCATGCCACAACGGCAGGTCGACTTCAGTTACAACTGCGTTGGGAGCTATGACTAACTGCCAAACCTGTAAATGAACCGTGTGCAGGGTTGGTGTGTGGTCGTATATACAACCGCTGCAACGACAAGAGCGTTCATTGCAATGGTCGAAGGGCAGGACTACCAGCATCGTCTCGCTTGCATAGGATTGTGTCGCCGCAGACTCGCCCTGCGGTCGAGTTTCTCTGTTCCCCGACGCAGTATCACATGCCTGCGGCCGACAGCAACTACAAAGCCCGCCCCTGTACCCACTCGCGAACAAGAAACAAACTCGAATTCAGTTAGTAGCCTGTGGGGGGGGGGGGGGGAACTTAGTTGAAATCGCCGGGCGCGATGGGGTCCGATACCTGCCAGACATACACGCGATTTAAACAGCGAAACCAAGGTAATGCAGATGACTTTGTGAACTGGAACATATATCAATTTGGTGTTTGGGAGTTGTCCTGTCATCTATGCCACCCTTTTTGCTTTCTCGTCTCCTTCTTCTTACCTTTCCGCCAACTAACCCCTAATCTTTGAGTTCCGCCGCCAAACTCACCAAATGTGCACCAGCTTAGGCGCAAGCACCCTTCGGTTCCGTGGCAAATCGCAGGGTAACCTTCGAGGTTAGTGACGTAATATTCGGTGTCCGACCTCATACGATGGTAGTAATAGAAGTCACTCGGTATGTAGCATCAAATGCCCTTTCTACATGACATATTTATTTTTTCGTATTTGTGACGTTCAGCCAGCTTACGCTTAGAACACGTTTTGAAAACAGCTCTAAGGCGTTCGTTGGAATCGGCGTCAGTAAATCCCGAAATAATTACTCATTCACAAAGACGCCAGGTCAAAGTTGATCCTCGCTGTCGCTAACCGTCAGTGCGGGTCTAGATCTATATCAGGGAAGGCCGCAGGCCGCCCATCACAACCCAGAGCGTCAGCGTGATGGTACCTTGGCTCGAAGTGGCCATCGGCTCTAAGCTCGCCCTGAATGTCTCCATACAGCTGTTGGTGATCGGCCGGACCAACACACTGCATGACGAGCCGACGGCGCCGCTCGTGGCGAACCTGGCGCTCGCCGACCTACTGTGTGTCATGAGTGTGCTGCTGATTGGTATCGTGGACCTCATTTTTAACCGCGTGCTGTACGTAGGCTGTCGCTTCGTTCAGATCGCAGCCGCCTGTTTCGCAATTGCTCTGAAGATGACGCAGATGTTGGTCGCCCTCGACCAGTTCATCGCCGTCGTCTATCTGCTGCATTACCGCGACATCATGGACTGTTGGATGAAGTGGTTGCTTGATTTGCCTTGGCTGCCTGTCCTGTTTACGGCTGTGGTTGGGGCCGCCTGTTCTGCCCTCCATTTGGAAACAGTCCACCAGTTCGGACAGCGCGTCGGAGAATTGACTGAAGTTGGACAGAACTGTCGCTGGGAAAATCTGCCGAGCGTTTATATGTTTTTTGTTGAAGCATTCCTTATGTTCGTTTCGGTAGCCACCGGATTTTTGTTCGTCTTCGCTGGAATTACGGGACTTCGGCACAATCAGGCGGAGGCGATTTCGGCAGGAATCACTGACGGCACTGCAAACAACTTTGCCCTGACTTGTACCAAAACTTCCATGAAAATTGTCAAAGTTCTGTGCCTTTTCGACATTCTGGACACCATCGGAGGTGATCTCAGGATCGGCACCCGCTGGATCAGCATGCCCACACTGGCATCTATACTCCACCTTAATCGTCTCGGCTGCTTGACTGCCGAAGCGTGAGTCTATAGCATGAGCCACGTGCTCGTGCGGAAGGCGTTCAGCAACAGCCTCCAGCCCCCTCGAGGCCTGTTTGTTCGTGGGGAATCCGGAAACTCCGTCCATCCATCAGGCTAAACGCAAAATGTCGTGCGGCTCTTTAGCTGTTGGAACATCTCTTAGGCGCAGCGCGTTGAAAGACTAACGTCTACACGCAGTTTTCACTCGTTCAGCGGTCGTCCTTAGCTGTTTAACGTTTCGACCCCTCGGGTGACTCCGTGGTTCCCACTCTATTTGAGACGGAGGCCCCTTGGATGTTTTCTCCGGTCTCGACTCCTTTGCAGGCTAATGCTCTTCGGGTGCCTGTCCTTTCATTGCTGCCCTTGTTCGTGACGCGCGCGACGAAAGTCAGCGAGCGGCTCGGATGACGTCCACGAGCTTTGTAGTTGGCTATATCAATGTAACCTGTGTACACATGATGTAACATCATTGCACGCAATGGAACACGCATGTGTGTAATGTGCGTTAGAGCACTCCACGGACTGGATCAATCACCGGATGTCGGATGGATCTGCAAGCGGATTGTACTGCACCAGAAAAGTTGGGCAACGCAGGAAGCGGGGTGAGGGTGTCATAATACGCCAGGAACTACAACTTGACCGGACAAAATCGAATTTAACTTCCAGACATGTTAATTCACGCTCAAATTATGACTAAATGGAGGTTTAGATAAACATGTCATTGAGTATGATATTCAGTAGAAAGTGTCTGCTAACCAACACTGACTTGATATTTTGAACATGTCATTATTATCAGAACTCGTAACGTAAGGTCGCGTTGATTTTTCATTCCGCTCTGTTAATTATAAATTGTGTTGATATTAGGTTCGTCAAGAATTTAATTCCCCCTTTAAGAAAGCCTGGTTTTTGTTTGAGGGTTCAGCTCCTTAGCAAACAATAGAGGCTTCTGCTGGTTATTTTCCAAGTCATGTGTGCGAGATACGTGCTCAGAGGTACTTCAATTCACGCCAGGTCAATAAATAAGGTCATTTGTTACTAAGAGCTTATTCTGGCAGTCATTCGGAATAATTAAACCCAGCTGATGGTTGTTATTTTTCCGTCGGTCACAAAATTCTGATGAAAGTTGTTACAAAGCAAGCCTAAAATAGGCTGATGTGTGACATATTTAAATGTTGATGATGTTAGTAGCAAACAACATTAATGCGCACGGATATGGATTAGCATGAGCATAACATAGCTCAGCCGGATCATGATGAATTTAGAAAAGAGAATTCCAGAAAGTCACATTGGTATGAAAGCCGCACTCCGCTGATGCAGTGTATGTGGTTGGACTTTGAAATCATACCTAAATACGTTTTCCTGTACGGTGCGTCTAGCCTACGAAGTGCATGATTGAAAGGTGTACGCCAGCGCCAGGAATATCATGGCATTGCCCGGCGGACTCTTGTGCAGTATAATATAAGCGTGTGTATTTCTGTTCTCGGGTGATTGCTCTACCTTCCCCGTGTCATTTTGGGCCCACAATAATTGGTGAGGATCCGGAACCCCGTTCTGTGAATTTCACTTTAAAATAAGGAGTCATTGGAGAATGAGGAAAGAGCCAGGAGAAGGGCATGGAAGTGATCTGGCATCGCTCATACCGACTCTTGGAAATACATGGTTTTACGGAGGAAGGGGAAACATCATGTTAACCATAGCGTTATGAAACAAAATGAACGCTCACGTTTCTAATTCAGAAGCACCTTTCAGCTCTGTGGCAAAGCGCATGGAAACCTCCGAGGTTGGTGACGTCATCTTCGGTGTCCGGCCTGGTATGATGGTAGTAATAGAAGTCACTCGGTAAGTAATATCAAATGCCTTTGTGCATGATTATTGTGATGCATCTTGAATCCTTATACCCCTCTTGAATCAATTTTTTCATGTTTGTGACGTTCAGCTAGCTTACGCTTGGCACACATACTTTGGAAAGAGCTCTAATGCGTTCGTTGAAATACGCGTCAGTAAATCCCGAAATAATTGGTCATTTACCATACCGCGAGATGTCAGGTCAAAGTAGATCACCGCTGTCGCTTACGGTCAGTGCGGCTTGAGAGCTAGGCCAGGGGAGGTCGTAGGCCGCCCAACAAGACCCAGAGCGTCAGCGTGATGGTACCGTATCTCAAAGTGGCCATGGGCTCTGCTCTCGCCCTTAATTTCTCCATACCGCTGTTGGTGATCGGCCGGACCAACACATTGCATGACGAGCCGATGGCACTGCTCGTGGCGAACCTGGCGCTCGCCGACCTACTGTTTGCACTGAATTTGGTGCTGGTCGGTTGCCTGGACCTCATTTTTAACCACGTCCTGTATGTCGTCTGCCAGTCGGTTCAGATAGCTGGCATCTTTCTTGCAATCTCCTTGAAGATGGCGCAGATGCTGGTCGTCCTCGACCAGTTTATTGCCGTCATCTTTCCGCTGCATTACCGCGACGTCATGGACCGCTGGACAAAGTGGCTTCTTGTTCTGCCATGGCTGACCGTCCCGTTTACGGCTATGGTGGGGGCCACCTGTTCTGCACTCCAGTTGGAAAACTTCTACCAGTTCGGACAGCGCATCGGAGAACCGACTGAAGTTGGACAAGACTGTCGCTGGGAAAAATTGCCGAGGGTTTTTATGTTTTATGCTGAAGCCTTTCTTCTGCTCGTTTCGGTAGCCACCGGAATCTTGTTCGTCATATCTGGAATCACAGGACTTCGGCAAAATCAGGTGGAGGCGATTCCGGCAGGAATCACAGACGGTACTGCAAACAACTTTGCTTTGACTCGTAACAAATCTTTTAGGAAAATTGTCAAAGTTTTGTCGCTCTTCGTCATTCTGGACATCATCGCTTTTGGTCTCAGGATCGGCACCCGCTGGGTCAGCATGCCTACACTGGCATCTATACTCCACCTTGCTCGTCTCGGCTGCTTGGCTGCCGAAGCGTGGGTCTACAGCATGAGCCACTTGTTCATCCGCAAGGCGTTCAGCAGCAGCCTTCAGCTCCTTCAAAACCTCTTTCGTCGTGGGGAATCCGGCAACTCTGTCCAACCATCAGGCTAAACGCAAGATGGCGTGCAGCTCCTCCGCTGTTGGAACATCTATATACAGCGCTGCTGAAAGACGAACGTCTACGCGCAGTTTTCACTCGTTCATTGGTTGTCCTTAGCTGTATAACGCTTCGAAACTTCGACTCCTCGGGTGACTCCGTGGTTCTCACTCCATCTGAGATAGAGACTCCTCGGATGCATTCGCGGTCTCGACTCATTTGCGGGCCTATACTCTTCGGGTGCCCGTCCTTTCACTGTTGTCCTTGCTCGTGACGCGCGCGACGAAAGTCAGCGAGCGGTTCGGATGACGTCCACGAGCTCTGTAGCTTGCTAAGTCGGTATGACATGTGCACCGACGTGTAACACCATTGCATGCAGTGCAACATTTATGTGTATTATGTGCGTTAGAGCGCCCAACGGACTACATCATGCGCCGGATGTCTGATGGATCTGCAAGCGGATTGCACCGCACCGCAAAAGCTGGGCAACGCAGGAAAACAGAGTGAGAGTGTTATAACACAACGGAAACTGCAACTCCACCAGACAGAAACTAATGCAAATTCCAAACATGGCAATTCAGGCTCAAACCACTACCAAAATAACCATATCATAGGGCTCATAGTCGCAAATATTTTCGTTGCAATTATGGCTAAATGGTAATTTAGGTGAACTTGTCATTGAGTGTGATATTCAATAAAAAGTGTCTGCTAACCAATAATGATTGATAGTTTTGGACATGTCATTATTATCACAACTCGTTATGCAGTCACGCACTGATTTTTCACTCACCTCAATTAATTCTAAACTGTGTTGATGTTAGGAAATTGTACTTCAAAGCATCGCTACGTGTTTCAGGATTTCATTTCGTCCCGATTGTGATTGTCCGTTTCAGTGACCGTAGTTTGTGTTTGAGAATTTGGCTTCTTAGCAAAGAATAGGGGATTATGCTGGTCATTTTGCATGTCATGTGTGCAAGACATATGCTCAGAGCTACTTCCATGCACGCCAGATAATAAAAAAGGGGCCTTTGGTAATGGTAGCTTGTTCTGGCAAACATTCAGAATACTTTAAACCAGCTCATGATTGCTATTCTTGAGTCGGTCACAACATTTTGATTTAAGCTGTTTCAGAGCAAGCCAAACATAGGCTGATGTATGACATCTTTTGCCCTTTATAATGATATCAGCAAACGACCTTGATGCGCATTAATACGAATTATTATGAGCACAACTTAGCTATGCAAGCTCATGATTGATTTGGAAAATAAAGTTGCAAAAAGCCGCATTTGCGGTCGCATTGGGTTCTGGAGTGGCGTACCGGTCTAAATCAGATAATTTTTTAAGTGATAATTAATAAGTGATAATTAATTAAGTGATAATTAAGTAATTAAATTTAAGTGATAATTAATTTAAGTGATAAACAATTTTAAGTGATGATTTTAATAATCAGATAATTTTTTAATTCCCTTAAGTGCTCTACTGTGCGTGCTAAAGGTAAAAATTCGCTTAAACACATCACCATTTTAAAAACCGTTGATACCATGGAACGTTCTTTGATGTGTTGTGTTGTGATTTGTTGCGACAGTGTCAAAAGTTCGTCGTGTCGTCGCTTTTGGCTCTTCTTCGTGTTCTACGTGCCTTTACGTAAGCAAATAAAGACCAGGCAAATGATGCGGTGAACTACCATCTTGGTTTGGTCGTAGAAAGGCAACTGATTTTAGGCGCCCAGGCGTCACGCTGCAGGCGTCAGCCACGGGTGTGCCCAGAGACATCCTGAAGGAGTTCCTCGACCGGATGTCTGACACACACACCGCGGACCCATGCGCAGGCTAAAGCTCAGCGGCTGCCCCCCCCCCCCCCCCCCCCCGGGCACACGTGATCCTGCTCCGCCGTTATCAATTATCTTGCATCCCATAATTCTGAAGTGATCGTTTCTGGCCGAATGGTCTTTATTCCAAACAACCAAACCAAAACAATCGTGTGCAGGCCTCGTATGAAACCATTCTCTCAGTCAACTGACCGTGTATGTACGTTGATGCAAAGGATGATTTTCCTTAACTCGAAAAAACGAGATGATAATGGTTTTTCGTGGCCTTGAGCAATACGCTGTCAATGAGATTGCAAACTGGTTGGTATGGTCTTCGATACGTCATTGCCTGATAACGTCATGGTACATTGCAAAACATTTGTAGAGAGCCAACTGCTGACCGTTTTGTCTGGAAATGGTGGTAATGAACGCCAGGTATGAAGAACTCGACCACTGTATTTTATCAGTTTTCTTGCAGCGTAATATTATATTATTGATGTTTGGTTTGTATAAGGCCTGCCAATACTATGGGAAGTAAGTCTACGGCAATTAGGCATGTGTGTTAAGTTCGAATTCCCATATGAATAAGTATTTCTGTGCGGTACGTTTAGGATGCGAAGTTGTTGCTTGAAAGGTGTATGTCAGCGCCAGGTAAATTATGGTATTCTCCGGGGACGCCTGCCCGGTATGATACAGGCGTGTGGTTTTCTGTTCTGCCGTGATTACTCTACCTTGCCCGTGTTACTTTGGGCCCATGTTTATTTCTGAGGGTCAGAAATACTGTTAAGTAAATTTCTTTTTGAATCAGGAGTGCTGAAATATCACAAGGCGCCCTTTTCAAGCATCGCCTGTTGACAATGGCAACCTAGGTTCATTGTAGAAACGTTGCTAGTTGAGCTGGCTTCTCAGTGACCATGTTTGTCTTGGAATATCCGACCGTCTTTCCAAACCGTGTAGTTAAACAATTACGTAACATAGCTTTAACAGAGCAAGCTCTCAAGCCTTAAAGGAAACACCCGGAAGCTCGGCGGTGCAGTATCCATCGGCT